CTACGAGATAATGTGCTGAACGGCTATGATTATTTGATTAGCTTTAACGTTTTTGACAAAGGACATAATGCAAAAGGGTTACGGTAAGATTCGAACCATCGACTTATAACTTCGGAGACCATTGCCTTCACCACTAGAGTACAAGTTCATGTGCTGAAGGGCTATGATTATTTAATAAATAAAGTTCATAATGAAAAAATGGGTATGGTAAGATTCGAACTAACGATTTACAATTTTGGAGACCATTGTCTTCACCAATAAACTACGAGAACACGTGCTGAACTGCTATGATATATTTGATTTACTTTAACCTTTTCACGAAGTTCATGATGATAAAACGGTCATGGTAAGATTCGAACTATCGATTTACCACTTGGGAGACCATTGTCTTTACCACTAGACTATGAGATCATGTGCTGAGCGGCTATGAATATTTGATTTACTTTAACGCTTTTGACAAAGGACATAATGAAAAAGGGTTATGGTAAGGTTCGAACCATCGACTTACCACTTGGGAGACCATTTCCTTCACCACTAGACTACAAGATCATGTGCTGAAGGGCTATGATTATTTAATTTACTTTATCTTTTTCACAAAGTTCCATAATGAAAAAAACGGTTGGTAAGATTCGAACCATCGATTTACCACTTTGGAGACCATTGTATTCACCACTAGACTATGAGATCATGTGCTGAGCGGCTATGAATATTTGATTTACTTTAACGTTTTTGACAAAGCACATAATGAAAAAGGGTTATGGTAAAATTCGAACCATCGACTTACCATTTGGGAGACCATTGCCTTCACCACTATTCTACAAGATCATGTGCTGAAGGGCTATGATTATTTAATTTACTTTATCTTTTTCACAAAGTTCATAATGAAAAAACGGTTATGGTAAGATTCGAACCATCGATTTCATTGTGAGACCATTGTCGTAACCACTAGACTACGAGAACATGTGCTGAACAGTTATTTAATATTTGATTTACTTTAACCTTTTCACGAAGTTCATGATTATAAAACGGTCATTATAAGATTCGAACCATCGATTTACCACTTGGGAGACCATTGCCTTCACCACTAGACCAAGAGATCATGTGCTGAACGGCTAAGATCATTTGATTTACTTTAACGTTTTTGACAAAGGATATAATGAAAAAGGGTTATGGTAAGATTCGAACCATCGACTTACCACTTCGAAGACCATTGCCTTCACCACTAGACTACAAGATCTGGTGCTGAAGTGCTATGATTATTTAATTTACTTTATCTTTTTCACGAAGTTCATAATGAAAAAACGGTTATGGTAAGATTCTAACCATCGATTTACCATTTGAGAGACCATTGTCTTCACCACTAGACAACGAGAACATGTGCTGAACAGCTATTTAATATTTGATTTACTTTAACCTTTTCACGAAGTTCATGATGATAAAACAGTTATGGTAAGATTCGAACCATCGATTTACCACTTTGGAGACCATTGTCTTCACCACTTGACTATGAGATCATGTGCTTAGCGGCTATGAATATTTGATTTACTTTAACGCTTTTGACAAAGGACATAATGAAAAAGGGTTATGGTAAGATTCGAACCACCGACTTACCACTTGGGAGACCATTGCCTTCACCACTAGACTACAAGATCATGTGCTGAAGAGCTATGATTATTTAATATACTTTATCTTTTTCACGAAGTTCATAATTAAAAAAAAAGGGTATGGTAAGATTCGAACCATCGATTTACCATTTGGGAGACCATTGTCTTCACCACTAGACTTCGAGAACATGTGCTGAACAGCTATTTAATATTTGATTTACTTTAACCTTTTCACGAAGTTCATGATGATAAAACAGTTATGGTAAGATTCGAACCATCGATTTACCACTTTGGAGACCATTGTCTTCACCACTTGACTATGAGATCATGTGCTGAGCGGCTATGAATATTTGATTTACTTTAACGCTTTTGACAAAGGACATAATGAAAAAGGGTTATGGTAAGATTCGAACTACTGACTTACCACTTGGGAGACCATTGCCTTCACCACTAGACTACAAGATCATGTGCTGAAGAGTTATGAATATTTAATATACTTTATCTTTTTCACGAAGTTCATAATGAAAAAACGGGTATGGTAAGATTCGAACCATCGATTTACCATTTGGGAGACCATTGTCTTCACCACTAGACTACAAGATCATGTGCTTAACGGCTAGGATTATTTCATTTTCTTTATCTTTTTCACGAAGTTCATAATGAAAAAACGGTTATAGTAAGATTCGAACCAGATTCGAACGTTCCTGGACTCGAATCCTAAGTTTTAAAAATGGGAGAGCATTGCGTTCACCACTAGACCAGCAGAACCTCAGGAGTGTCACTACACTGTTTTATTTTTACCTAATTTTTTATTTTAAACAACCTTTTTTCGAAGGATTTTACGTAAGTTTAAATACGTTTGCTTGGATGATGATGCTTTCTATTTTGTCTAAAACGCACAAACGTGAATCTTATTCGTAACTTTAACCTAATTGATTCATTTATGCTGACGCTACCGGGTGTCCCAAAAAAAGTACCTATTTTTAATTCAACATAACTTAAAAACGAACTAAAGAATTGCAATAAAATAGTCCATGTGTAGTTGAGTAATGTCTAACTTAAAGTTTGATATATTTGATATGAAGTTTGAGCAAGTAGTTTCCGAGATATTCGCGTTTAAAGACACAGTAACGTTTTGAAATGTGTCAAAAATCAGCAAATAATGGCTTGTTAAATGCAACAATCCGATATCTACAGGGGCAATTTCCTGGTCGACTCATGAGTAAACGTGGCGATTGGCCATGGCCTCCACGCTCCCCTATCCTGACGGTGTGTGATTTCTTCCTCTGGGGCTATTTAAACAGCAGATTTGGGAAGTTCCTCATGACCAACAACCTCAAAACTTGGGAGATCTTCGCGAGGCGATTGTTAGGTCATGTCGCTATTTGGACAACCACATGATTAAAAGGTCTTTTGATAGCATGCTGAAACGGGCAAGAAAGTGCGTTGCTGCTGGTGGACATGAATTTGCAGATGAATTAGAGCAAGTAAAAAACGATTTTTAGAAAAACAACTAAAAAATATGTTACAAGATACCATGTTAGGAACCGGTATTGTTGAAACAAGTTTAATAGGCCATTTTTTCCTGATTTTTGACAAGTTTCAAAACGTTGCTACGACTTTAAACGCAAATATCTCAGACACTACTCGTTCAAACTTCATATGTAATATATCAAACTTTAAGTTAGTTAGACATTACTCCACTTAATATAGATTGTTTGATTGCAATTCTTTAGTTTCCTTACAAGTTATGTTGAATTAAAAAAAGGTACTTTTTTGGGACACCCAGCATAATATCACAGGTATGGAGACCATTGAGAAAAGGTGCAGCGTTATTTCACCATAAGCTAGTTATATGCGGCCCAGGTGAAGCAAATGGTTACGGTGCGATTGTTTTGTATTTTAATGAAGTCAAGTCTGATTTCACAGATCACAAATTAAAATTTGAGGAAATGGTAATTCAGATTTATTAGAATGTTTCAACATTTTCCACTTATTTCATAGCTGAAATTGTACTCCAAATCTCCATTATAACGCAAAAAATATTAAATAACTCTACTTCTCTTAAGCTGCGTTTACACGGTACCATCCGCTCGTCACAACATCTTCGTTTCCATGCAGCGTACACCTAAGATCCTATAAGACACAGTCACTGTCGGTCACAGCACGGCTACGATCCCCAGTCTGATTTATTTATGTCAATTTCTTTCTTATATTACATCCCGTCAATTACGTATCACAATCGCTTAATCATCATGTTCCTCTAGCAAATTGTAGTTACAAGATTATGTATTGCCATATGCATTATTTACGCAATCATTTTGATCGCGCGCCACACTTTCTTCTCACATTAGTTTTGGTCCCGAAAACGGTAAAAGTTGATACAGAAACTACGATCAAAATCTCCCGATTCCTGACCAAGACAAACAAACCAGGACAAGCAAACTTTCCCTGCTCAGTAGGCATAAAGTAAGGTTTTAGATTGTCGTGATGGACCATGAACTCTCGACCTGTTTCTGATCTAATCTTATAATTTACGCCTAGTCTTCCTAAAATAGTGTGAGGTCCAAGCTGTTTGGGACAGAATTTCCACTCCTTTGGCCGCCTAAGCCATACATGCTCAAGCCATACAAAATCTAGTTTCCTGCTGACCAAGCAAGTCCGACGAAGCGAGGAGTCCTCGGAAGGATCGCGAAAGTTTATGATCCTCTCGGGTTGATTTCGCCCATTATTCTGCAAGGAAAGTTCCTCTACCACGAGTGTTGTGACGCTAAGGTCCCCTGGGATGCCAAACTGCCTCGTGAGTTAGAAGCTAGATGGACGGCGTGAGAGAAAAGCCTACAGAGAACGTGACCGCACCAATTAAGGAGTCTAGCTAAGTTCCAGTAGCCAATTGAAGATACAGGTCATTAGACCCTTACAAAAATAAACTATAGTTTTTAAAGGCGAAACTATAGTTTTAATAACTGTAGTATTTGGAATAAAACTTCAGTGTCTGAAACTATAGTTGTTTTAGTGAAAACTATAGGTTAAAAACTATAGGTTTGTTCGAAACTATAGTTTTTACATGGAAGCAAAAGGTATTCTTTAAAAAAAAATAATTTTGACGTTTACCCAAATAATAACTGCTGCACAAAGCAGCTTTAATTTCACGAAGCTAACACAGTTCTAGTCATGCTGCCAATAATCAAACGATATTTTAACGAAAAAAGGAATTACGTTTTACTTTACTTCGGTCTTTAGTACCAGGGGATTTTATTATTAGTATATAATAAATGCAGAATATAAAAAAGAACTACTGTTTTGAAATTTAGGCATTTACTATTAATTTAAAGGGCTAAAAACTTTCCTACAATGATACCCTTTCTTAGTATATGTTCAAAAATTCCTGTGCCATAATACTGTTATTCTTGTTGCTTTTTGAACGCCTGTTCCTCATTGTTCAGTTTAAACTTGATAGCTTTGACAATGTCCTCGTCAATAACAGGCCGCTGAAGTTCGGTGTATCTTACACTCTTGGCGTATTCTACACAAAACATAAAGAAGGGCTAAATTACTAAATCAGTAAATATGCCAACACTGCGTTTTTCCTTCAAATGCTGATTAGGTAAACAGAAATAGTCCGTCTTTGCAATACAAAGATTACGTATACACTCAAAACCAAAAACTTACTTATTAGGGAAGCTGTGTAGTTTGTATCAAGCTTTGGCTTTGTTTGCCCATTCTTCCCTTTCTGCCCTTTGTAACTGTGTGTCGCCATGTACTCTCTTGTGAGTGTTGCTCCCATCAGGTTTGCCACAAATGATCCTACTTTCTTCGTCTTTATTCGTTGAAGCACATTCTTTGAAATCGACAAGCCTGGTCCCAGAACAACCTGGTAGAAAATAAATCAATACAATAAATTAGTAAAAAAGGTGAAAAAAACAATGTAAAGTCATCCAATGAACAAAATGTTTTAAACCACGGTACTAATAATTCCATTTTCAAGACACACTCTACCTAAACCACTTTGCGTGTATTGAAATCAGAATGTAAAATTTTAAAATTCTCCAATTTACAGTGCATTTGAAAGACCTACCTTATCTGCCATAACATCAGCCAATCCAGACTGTTCGTCACTTCCACAAATTTTTGAGGAAGCATATGTGTCCTTCTCTAACTCCTGGACCTAGTTGTCATCATCACAGCCTTGTATTTCCTTACTTTTGTCTTTCAACAAGTTGTCTTCGCTAATTGCAATTACGGTTGGTTCCTCTGTAGCAAATTCTGAAAAACCACTCATCGATGTGGGAGAAGATCTGGCTGATGAGCTTGACACACATGAGATAGGAGACGATCTTCCATGATCCATGGTTGTCAAAGGAGACAATCTTGCGGAAGGCTCGTATGCTCGTACGCTCTGTTGTGAACCAAATTTTGGTGCTTGGTTTGAAAAGCCTTCCAAGGATGCAACATACTTCTTCAGTTTTCTCAAAGAAACTTTTAAATCTATAAGAAAATTAAAATGCATTAGCCAAAGACTAGGAAACATGAAATCAGAATAACAGTAAAATCATTGCCTTTTTGTGAGTGGCTAATGAATGGTGAGGAAAAGGCAAAATAAATGGCTTGTTCTAGCTTAATGCACCAGGATCATGGATTGTCCGCCGATCACCCGTCTTGTGGCACATTTTGATTAAAAGTTGGACAAATCTTTTTGAACAAGCTTACCATCACTACTTTCGATTTGTTCCCGAAGTCTTTCATTTTCACTTTTTAGGTGTTTGATTGTTGCCAGAAGCGTTCTATTTTCTCTTAAATGTTTGCAATCTTCATCACATACACTGTTGTCATCAAATAATTTAAGACTTTCCTAAATATTAAAATTATAAGCAATGAATACATATGTGTGCTGCCTGTGCACCAATGGACGACTTGCGCTTTAGACTAATTTCTTACATTGACGATAAAAAGGACATTTTCTGAAAGAGCTTACTAAAATTAGTAAAACTGCCAAGTTTGGCTGGAAGTTGTTGTAAAATACGGAAAATACAGCCATGCGAAGTTGACGATTTTTGTATACTTTTGTATTATGGCTGGAAGTTTGTAACTAATTTAGTTACACATTTCCGCACGTAATACAAAAGTATACAAAATATGCCAACTTCGCATGGCTATACTTTCCGTATTTTACAAAATTTTGCAGCCAAACTTTGCATCTGCACTAATTTAAGTAAGATCTTTCCAGCGGTGGTGATTTATTTTCTTCTAGTCACTTCTATCAAAAATTAGTCTAAAGCGCAAGTCGTCCATTGGCATCTTTCCTAATTATCAACAACTGCAAGAATGTAATGTGTTCTTACTAACTCATGTGTCTATCTACCATCTCAGGTAGTATAAGGAAGCTTTTATATTACTGCTATTTCAATGCTAAAAGCTTAAATAATGTTAACATTTAGCTTTCACATCGTCTTATATACAAGGTGATTTTACTCTTTCTGACAGAGGCTTCCTTTTGACCTGTAACTATACAAACCTTCCTGTATCTTTCCTTTATCATGTTAGCCAGATTGGTTGATCGCTTTGATTGCTCAGCATTTTTAGATGCTGCTTTCTGCCTCTTCGTTGCAGCTGGTTCTTGCTGAAGAAAAACAGGATCAGAAATAAATGTGGGGAATATAAACTATGCACATAACTTGCTCATTACTATTATTTTTGTATATGTGCTCAAAAAACACCTTGTTAGAGAAAATTTGGAATGGAAAAATTATCTCTGTAACTTTAAGACTTTTACCTGTCTTTCTGTGTCACTGTCGCTATCATTTATAACACGGAAACCTTTGCCTGTTTTAACCGGAGAATCATCTTCTCTCATGTATTTGAGTAACCAGTCTTTGTCATCTATTGTTTATTTAAAATATAACAAATATGAACAAAGATTATGGCAGGGATGGACTTGGTGCTGATTTCTGAATATGTCGTATCTAAAAGTGGGAAGTAATATATGCTGTTATATAGACAAATATTAAATTACTTGAGACTTCACACACTCTGCTCTGAATTATTTGGGATCATTTAGATGATTAGGACTTCAATCACCATGATATGAATTATACTTCAAACATGATTATATTTCAAAACAGCCTGATCTGAATCATTTGGGATCATTTATATGATTAGGACTTGAATATATTAACTATAAAACCCATCTTACCCTAAATAAATTATATTTATTTCAAGACATAAAACGCCAAAGGCGAACAATAATGACTCAAGGAATATTAAACTTAATTTCAAACCTGATATCTTTACAATCTCGGCAGGGAATTTTCTTTTGGTTGCTTTCTTGGATTTTGTATCTTTCCAAAGAACCAACATTTTTGTCCCGTTCTCGATTTCATTTTGTTTATGTTCCTGAGTAAAAACAATATCGGAATATGGAATGACATCCCAAGCATTCTCTTCGAAGAAATTAACCAAAGCGTAAGCCATTAAGTCGTTTAATTGCCGAGGTCTTTAAAACACTGTTGTCGGTAAATTCGAAATGGCCGCCAAGAGAGTTGGCATGTCATACTCAGGTCACATGTGGGCAAATTAAAATGCGAGCATGCCCATACTAGGGAATAATCGGATATTCACGTCTCGTCTCGACGCAATAGTTTCCCAAAATATCCCAAAATATCCCAACTAATCCCAACATATTTCTTTTGTGATTTTCCTCCGATCTGCCGTTTTCCTTGAACTAATTACTGAAACTGTTAAAAGATAAAAGATTCTGAGAGTCTTGAAGATGGTCAAAGGTTAAACACGCTTATGTGTTGAGTACAAAGGTATGTAAATGTTAATGTATGCTAAATATTGGTAATCGAAATCTATATATATATATATATATATATATATATATATATATATATATATATATATATATATATATATATATATATATATATATATATATATATATATATATATATGTATCGCAAATCACTTTTTCTTGACTACAGATTATGCAAATAAAAAAGTGCAGCTATAGTTTCTCTAGAATAACTATAGTTTTATTAGTAACCATTTGTTGTAAACTATAGGTCTTTAAAAAAACTATAGTTCAAATTTAGTTTCAATTATAACTATAGTTTCCAGCGGCTACTATTTGTTGAAAACTATAGTTTTTAAAACAACTATAGTTAAAGTATAGTTTGGAACAAAACTATAGTTTCGAAAAACTGTAGTTTCTGTATTTGGAAACTATAGTGTCACGAATAACTATAGTGTTTTTGTCTGAAACTATAGTTGTTCAGAAGAACTAAAGTTTTAAGGCAAAAAACTATAGTTATTTTGTCGAAACTATAGTTAGTTTTTGTAAGGGGATCAAGATCATTAGATCTGGTCGCACAAGAAAGACAGTATAGAACTTAGTGCTTTAGATTTTAACATATATTTCGAACAGTTGCGTTAAAATTAGAATTCAATCAAGTTAACATTTATTGGGACGGTGAACACTGAACGAGGCACAACTTTTATATTCTAATACTTTTTATATTATAATAGGGGGGGGGTGTTGGATTTTATGCGGAAATAGAATGATTATTATAATGCATGCAAACGTCATGGGTATAAATTATACTGCATGGGGATCAATAGTAAGTAAGAAAATTGGATAATTAAGGACAGATTGGAAGTGAGGGTTAAACACACAAATTCCCAACACAGCCTCCTACTGCCATGAATGACCGGTCTTGTTAAAAACAAATATTATAGGTAAATAAAAATATCTACAATCCCTCGCGAACATCGTCGTCTTATATATTATAATTTCTTATCTTCGCTTTTACCTGGGAGAGTGTCCATTTCCCAGCTGCCTTGACAGACAGCGCAGCCTTGGAACACTCTGGCTTGAGATGCACGTGACTAGGCTGACCTTTGACCGTGAAACTGTCCGTAGTTGAGAAACTTTCCCGAAGCTGAGACTTGCTGACTTCGTCCCCGCGATGGGTTAATCCAGAACTGTCCTCGTCTAGTAGTTTCCAGACATCTTGTAACGACGCGCGGTCGTCTGATGAGAACGAAGGTTGCCATCGCGAGACGATTTCGTCACGAACAGTAGACGATTCCGGTAGGCCTGCTTTTTCTGCGAGTTCCGTGTTTGAAGAGTGTTTTTGAAGTTTTGGGCCGACGCGGAATTTTTTTTGCGAGGAGATAGCGAATGCTGATCATTATTCCTCGCTAGTGTTCTCTGTGCATACTGCATGCAGTTCTTTGCTTGTTAGTTCATATTGCAACTGTTCCAAACCCCGTAGTTGGGATCGGGATGTTTGCGCCACATTCTGCGGATCTTTGGACGATTGACGTGCCTCAATTGAAGGCGATTTTTTCCCTCCTAATATATAACGATAGAATAACATTCTAAAATCAAAACGGTGGCAGCGGTACACTAATCGATTTTACCACGAGATTACTTATTTCAGCATCTCTCATTATACCAAAGCCGCCACGCTGCGGAGAAACAAGAAATTTTCGTGTTCTCAATAATTGTAGTTTTTCTCAACTTCTATTATATAGGTTTAAACTTTTGTTCTTAACAATTTATCAAAAATGGTTTAAAGACGCTCTGCAAAACAATTTTATTTCATATTTCAATCAAAGGACGCATTAAACGAATGTTTAGTCCACCCGTTTTCGGTACATTTTCAAGTACAAGTTTAACTTATATCTTATCAATTAACTTGCATGTTTTCTTTCAACAGTTCCAATTGAAGTTTTTCGCCATATGCTTATAACCGACCGGCGTTTGCCCAGACCTTATTCCGCGGTGTTCTGGAGCCCGGTCACGTGTCACTACCCTACATGCGGTAGTGACGTAATCATCGCGGGATCTCTTTGCACATGCAGTTAGTCTTTTGCGAACAACAGAAGCTACGCATCATGATTATAGGAAAAATGTATTCAATTCATTCTTACAGTAATTTATTTCGACTAACGTATATATATTAATGCCATCTTAATAGATATTCCAAAATATCCCTTCAAATACCTTTATATTTCAACAATTCAGCTCTCAGCTTATTTCCCATTTTAATCAACTGTTTGCGTTCTTTTGTTACTCCATTTTTCCGTTGAGCAGCTTGACGTAGTTTGGTGTGTAATCCTTTAGATGACGATACTACTCCCTTCATACCAGGGACTTCTGAAAAAAAAGGAAAACGTTTAAAATTTAAATCCTGACAAAATCATTCAGAATTTTATGAAGTGAATTTAGGGTTTGTTATGTGTTGATGAGAAATGTTGATGAAAGGTTTTCCAGCCGCAATCAATTTACTGTTTTGGAAAAGGTCGTAACTTACAAATTGTGAACGGGTTTGAATGAAATATAACTCCATAGACAGGCGTCATAGTTATATCACGCTATTTTAGGTGGATCAGAACAGCAAGAGATATGCATTCTATATATGGTCTAACAACTGACAGTGGTTGGGTTACATCACAATCTATACGTTTCAATTAATTCAGTAGATTTAGAATGTTCTACGGCAGTCGTGATTGTTAAGATTCTAAACACAAATAAAGATAGTATTTCAAAAGCGTCAGACAGTACACTCACCTTTCTCTCGAAGGTCTTGTATAAACTGACTTTCTGGATTGTACGTATTCACACTCTAAAAAAAGGTGTGTTCAAATAACACACCTTTTTTGTCCAGAATATAACACAGGTTAAGGTGTGTTTTCTTACACACGCAGGTGTGTCCCAAAACACACCTTAAGGTGTGTTTCTTGCTTGTCCAGAATTTGACACACATAAGGTGTGTTTTGCAAAAGGTGTGCTTTAGTACACACTAAGGTGTGTTTTGAAACACACTGTTGTGTGTTTTCCTACACAACTTTGGTGTGTTTTCCTACACAACTTTGGTGTGTTCCAAGACACATACTGCTAGGTGGTGCAAGGTGTGTTTTGGAACACACTAAGGTGTGCTACCCAACACACAAGATCAAATTGCCTAGGGCAATTATCTAAATAGAATGAATAGTCAGAACAGTTTGTCCATAAACAGTGAAATATGTATTAAAAATAGAAAACATTATCATACAAGAAAACACTTACATATATTCACAACAAATATTTAAAAGTCATATGGAAAATTTGCCTTAATAATAATTTGCCTTAAATATATGGCATGCATATAATATAAGCATGAATGTCCAGGCATGTATAAATTGTTCTAATCAGAATTGTCCTTAATTCCTTGGTGCACCTTTGCCATAAATGAGGAAAATTTTGTTCCTCTGTAGTTGCCATCATTTGTTGGCAAAAGAATGTCTTGTAGGAAAAGCAAGCATCCTTCCATACTTTCAGGGTAGGAGACGTGATATGCATAGTAACAACAAAGCAGGTCGATCAAACCTTGGAGTATACCTTCACTCTCAATAAATGACTGGTCTTCACCTGCCACAAAAACTTGGTTGACCTCCTCAGGAGACCCAATCACAACCAAGCGAAACTCGACATTCTTGTCTTTGAACAAGGTTTCTGGTCTCATGGTGGATGCAGGCTGTAAAACAAAATTAAAACAGTTAATTACAATTCCAGCATTGAGGGTAAACCTAAAGATTAAGATCATTGATTTGCCACTGAGCTATCTACTAGAGTGTGCAAGGTGCAATTGACAAATACATACATCTTTGAATTTTAGAACACTTGTTGTTGTTCCTTTGTTCCTTTTTGTCTTTCTCTCAATTTGCTCCACAGCCTCCACAACCTGTTCACTTCTCATTTCACATTCCTTATCCTTAATTTGTATGACAGCTTTCAATGCAGTCTCCAACTTCTTTTCAGCCTCTTTTTCCCAATTTTTCTGCCCAATGATTCTGCTAACTTCTTTTCTTACCTAATTAAGATAATCAAAGACATTTTGCAGGTGTTTGAAACAAGTTGCCATTGCTTCAATAGGGTTACCCATTGTTTTAATATTATACCCTAAAAACTACATGTGTATATATGACTGCACAAGACATCATGTGAAGATACTTACAACATTTGGATGACCAAGATATGGACATTCCTCCAAGACCTCTGTAGAAGATGTAGCTTGATTTTCGATAAGTTTCCTCCGCTCATTAAATGTGTCGACAAAGAGTTTTGCAAATGTTTAGGAGCCATTGCACCAGGTTTTGCTTTTTTCAAAAGCTCCATATTTCTTTTTTGAGCTTGCTCATCATCCTCTGCAGTCAGTTTTATTTTCTTTGAGGCACTTTCATTTGCATAACCATGGGGTTGTCCATGCATCGCTTTGTTAACTGTCCGCCGCCGAAGGTTTCTGAAGAATTGCGACAATTGTTTCTGGATTGATACCTATATATGTAGACAAAATATGATATTTGGGATTAGGATCATTGCCATGACAAGTATATTTTAAGTACATATACAGAATATTCCCTCTTGTGACACTTACCCAATAGCTTGCTTGATTGGAATCTCTCAACTCAGGGAATTTCTCGCACACTAAAATGGCAATCCTCTTGTAGTCACCTTGCTTTGGGTGGCTGGACAAACCATAATAAAAGGTCCCTACATCTGCAATCAGCTGTGTTCGCTCAGGGGCAACAGAGCCATTTTTTATTGCCATCTGCACTCGCACAGAGAAACTCTCAGGAAATGGGAGAGTGTTTGGTAGGGCTGTGGCATCTGAACTATTAGTAATAGGTTTGGGACTCTTGAGTGGTTTCTTCATTTGAACACCTGCTTTCACACTTTCAACACTGCTTTCACATGCCATGGTTGGCAAAGGTGGTTTCACTGGCAAAGGTGGTTCCACTGGCAAAGGTGGTTCAGTTGGCATTGGTGGTTCTAGCTCTGATGTGTGTGGTTCATCATCATGTGGCATCACAATTTGCTGAGGCATTTTTTCCTATTATTGACAAATAGTAAATACTTTCATGTAAAATATTGAGAAGTAGTCATTATTAGTGATGGGAATACAATTGATTATTTCAATTGCCCAATGTGACAGTGCCTTCTCTCGGCTTATAATTTTCAATTAGTACTGTTATATAAAAGCCTGTTAGGCAAACTAAAGGAATTAACGACAAATTAATATTCTTGTTAAATCAAAGTTTATATTTATATCCTGTTTAAACAAAGTAAACTTACGTTTTCTGTTGTCGCAGATAAAGTAAAGGCCAATTTTTGTTTTAGTTGAATTCGATGGCCAGATTTAGGTAAGACCGCTTTGAATTCGTCGATGTCTTGCATCAAAAAGTTCAATGTACCCCCATCAATAGCATTTTCTGAAACATTATAATCATAAACTGTTAGTAGATCGTATTCATTAAACTGTATAATAAAAAGAAAGCTTAACGCACACATAAAAACTTAAACGCTTTAGCATTTTGGCAATGGTTCAACCACATGAGGCATACCTTTCAGTTGATCGCAAATTTCTCTTGAGATGCCTTTTGATAACAAGTGAGCAATAAGGTCTTCAGTGAACATTGCTACTAAACACACAGCCATACTTGTGATGAAATTATATTTAAAAAACAGAGTAAATGTTGTGAGTAATCTTCTTGGAACGTCGAACGGGCAAGATATCAGTCAAATTTTTACAAGCAGGTCTAAATTTCCCGCATCACACCATAGGGAATTCCTATTGGCAGACTTACGGTCACGTGTTACTTTAAATACATATATGGTATTCCCAGTGGTGACATTACCGTGAGAGAATAGAATGGCTCCCAGGCCTTTTGCAAATGCTCCAATTTTTCGGCTAATATCGATTGAAAACATACTGGGAAATAAACTAAGTATTAAAAGCAGTAAGGCACAAGGCGAAATAATGTGTTTTTAGTATATACAAATGGCCGATCAACTGAATTTCGCTGCGATTACTGTAATTTTGTATGTTGCAGCGGACAAAGTAAGCTTTTTTTTATCACTTGGTTAAATACACTCAAACGAGCCGAATTTCAAGATATTTTGTAACAGCTGTCCACGGTCGTTTACAAAGATAAACAGTCTCCAAAAACATTATTACAGACAGCATAAGGCTTTAACAGTGGAAGAAGACTTAAATGATGGGGAAAATGAGAACCATTTTCAGGAGATGTTTGACGAGGGAGAAGCACGAAGTCTAATGCAACGCCATGCTGCCAAATTCCTTTTATGTTCCAAAACAAGAGGTATGCTCACCCAGAGTGCCGTGGACTTGGTCAAAGATTCAGCGAAAAATCTACTAACTGAGTATTTGGACATAGTCAAAAAATCGCTTGTCGAAAAGATAAACAGTAATCCTGGTCAAGAATTGCAATTTGACCAAGATGTGGAAAAGTTATTTTCAGCAGAGAGTGTCTTCGACGGAGTTGATTCAGAATACCAACAAAGATCATATTTTAAGCGTCATTTCAATTTGGTGGTAATTACCAACCTACCAAACCTGAACCAGCTGCCAGCTTTGTCAGCTTGCTTTATATTTTTTTAACTGATTTGCAGGAACCAATAGAAGTTGAGATGGGAAAACAGTGGAGAAGTGATTTTCGACAAGGGAGAAAAATACTTAAACGTGTCACAGTTTTTGGTTATCAAGTTCCATTATTAAAGACTTTGGAGGTAAAATATATTTTATATGAAAGACTAGCAAATAATTGATGTCACTATTCTGGTGCTAAATGCCATTACTTTGGCTTTTCAAGATTCAAATCACTGGATGCATCCATTTGTTGCAAATTTTTTTTCAAACATTTTTTTGATCATATATTTTAGGCACTTCTTCAAAACCCAGATGTTTTAAAGGAAGTTGAAAATCCACATTTTTCATGTGATGGTGTTCTTCGAGATGTAATGGATGGGGATTTTTTCAAGAGTCATCCAGTATTCTCCCTCCACAGTGATGCCCTGCAGCTGTTGGGCTATTATGATGATCTAGAAATAGCCAATCCTTTAGGTTCAAAAGCAAAGATTCATAAAATTGGTGTGTGTCTTTATATTATGTCTATGAATCTATGAACAGCTTATTTCATAAGCATGTTAGCTGCCCAATCACATATAAAATTTGTTTTTAGGTGTCTTTTACTTTGTGCTGGGCAATATAAGGCCAATGTTTAGATCAAGCATCCGCAGTATACAACTTATAGCTATTGCTAAAACAAAAGACATCAAGTCATTTGGGATCGATAATCTTTTGATGCCATTCATTGAGGATGTCAATTGTTTGGCGAAGGTATTTTTACTTTATGCATTACAGTATTGTATGTATATAAGAAAAAAAAAGACAAAATTCCTCTAGTATGCAAATTTGTCCAACATTATAGCTTCCTATATTTTAGGCTAATGGTCACTGTTTTACCATAAATGGTGTTGCCCGTGTGTTTGAGGTGATCTGTTATTGTGGACTGGAGATACACTTGGTAGCAACTATGTCAGTGGTTTCAAGGAAGGTGTTGGAGGAGCATTGCGAATTTGTAGGCATTGTATGGGAACAAGACTGGAGACCAACAATAAGGTAAATATGCTATAATTTGAAGAAATAGCTTTTTTCCCTACTGTAATTTGGGAGATATTTTGCTGAGCAATAAGGGCATTTTTACAATTTACACAATGTGCATTTGGATTACCTTTCTGTTTTAGTTTTTATCTGAAGACTTTTCAGAAAGAGATTTGGATAATCACAGACAAATATGTGCATGTATTGAAGATGAAGATAATGCATTAAACATCCGTGAACAACTTTCCACAACCTATGGGGTAAACAGATTAAGTGTGTTGGATAAGGTGCAACATTTTGATGTTTGCATTTGCATCCTGAAGATATAATGCATATATTTTGGAGGCTTGGTACCCTATGAAACAAAGTTGATGCTGAAGTATCTGATTGATGAAAGCAGATGTATCACACTCAAAGAGTTAAATCGGAGGATGGAAAACTTTGATTATGGATACATGAACAAAAAGAATAAGCCAACTGCAACTACAGGGAAACAATCAATGGTGTCACTGAAGCTAAGCTTAAACAATCAGGTACATATACTTTTAAAACCCTTTCTTTCACTGCAGTCATTGGGAAAGTATTAACTAATTTATATGTCTTGCTTTATGCAGCCTAATTGTCTTGAACTACCAAATGTAGACTATGTAATGCTATTTTAACCTGAGTCTTTTTGTTGCAGCATCTCAAATGTGGTGTTTATTCAGGTTCTTGCCAATCATGATTGGTGATAAAGTGGATGAGCAACTGGAAAACTGGCATTGTTTGCTGAAACTTTGGAATATTGTTCAAATTTGTACTTCTCCAGGAATAACAAAGGCTGATGCTGCCTATTTGAAAGTTATGATTAATGATCATCACAAAATGTTCAAAAATCTCTACCCTAATGCATCCATAATTCCAAAAATGCATTATCTTATACATATACCTGATGAAATTGTTAGGTAAAAAATTATTGATGTAAAAGTTACTTCCAAATTATTTTTGAGTTAGAGAACATCATCCTATTAAATTATTGATGATTATAATTAAATGTTTGCGTTGTAGGTTTGGGCCACCTAGAAATATCTGGACCATGAGATTTGAGGCTAAACACAGTTTCCTGAAAAGTTCAATTACCAAGAACTTTAAAAATGTCCCCAAATCACTTGCATTTTCCCATCAAAGGTATATATTTTTTAAAATCATTGTGCACAATTAGATTGACTTGTATTCCACCCCTCTAAAGTAGCTGTGTTTTATCACTCTAGGCTTAATTTTGAATAAATGTGTAGATTTGTGTATTTCAATTATACATTTTTTACAGAATTGTGTATTTATCATACTAATCATGGTGTAATTGTTTTTTATTTAGGAACATGTGCTGGAACCTTCTGAGTTCTCCCAAGCAGCCCTTGACTAATTACCTGTATAGTGGTGATGTTGTTGGATTAGGTAAATAATGCATATATAGTTATAAAAATTTGTAATTTTACATATGTAAAATATGCATATACAGCTATTATTCCAATTTAAATCTATTTTTTCATGTGTTTCCTAATGTCTGTTTAAGGCGATCACAATGTTGATTTGCACAGCCATCCATATTTTGGCATGATAGCTCAAGCTGCTAGTGTTGATCAACTGGCACAGCCATGTAAAGGAAGCAGGTAATATTTATCAGTTTAATATTGCCAAGTTGTTTTTTAATGTAATTATGAATAAAAAATTATATCATTTATATGACATAATAAAGGACTAACTACTACAATATTCAATCTAGCTACTATTTATCAACTGAACTATCTCTTAATATCACTGTGATTTATCAGGCAAAAACTGAATTTGGGATGAGATGAATCATACTATCTTATGTTTATCAAATGAACTATTGCATTGTAATCTAATTTTTTAGCATGTTAGGCATGTGGAGATTCATGGCATAATTTACAAGCCAGGATGTGCTCTGCGACTGCAGGAAATGGATGAGATTGGTGAGAGAGATTATCCGGTTTATGGTGAGGTGGAAGAAATCGTTGTTTGGGAAGATAGAAAATTTTTTGTTGTTCGAGTTTTGGAGACATCTGCTTTCCACAGACATTTTATGTACTACCAAGTTCATAAAACTAATGAAAGGCTTGTTGTACGTAGTAATTCAAAACTTACCCTGGCATGGGGTTTTGCATATTATTAAATCTAATGGAAAATTTTATATAGTTGAAAAAGATAGTTCAAATGTAGAAGACTTTGTGATTAATTGTGAATGAAATATTGCCACTGTATGGTAACCAAAAAGGTAAAGCTGTTTCACTCAAGAAGGTGTGTTTCCTAATGGTGTGTGCTATAGATATAGCAGATAGGTATGTCTTTGTCAAGGTGTGACCATGAAAGGTGAGCATTCTACATAATGTGTTCTGGAAAAAGTTGTGTTTTTCACGAACGTTTGTTGAACACACATTTTTCTCCAGAAAATGGTGTGTTAACTTGTATGGTGTGTCATTGTCAAGTTGTGTCAATGCAAGGTGTGCTCTCTGCATGGTGTGTTCTGAAAAAGGTGTGTTTGTTGAACACACCTTTTTCTCTAGAAAATGGTGTGCTCACTTCTATGGTGTGTCTCTGTCAAGGTGTGTCAAAGCAAGGTGTGCTCTCTGCATGGTGTGTTCTTAAAGGTGTGTTTGCTGAACACACCTTTTCTTCCAGAAAAAGGTGTGTTAACATAAGGTGTGTCAGTTGACACGGGCGGGTGTGTTTCTGTACACACCAAGATGTGTTCTGTGACCCAGTAAGGTGTGTTTATCAACCCACCTATGACTCTTTTTTCAAAAAAGTGTGTTTCACAACACACCTTTATGTGTTTGAAAACACACCTTGGTGTGTTTGAAAACACATCTTTTTTTAGAGTGCAAAGGTTTTCCGTGACTGGCAAGATCCAATTTTAATGCTGACAACTGCAGAAAATCATCTCCTGCCTGTCACACAATTCTTGACTAGATGTTGCTAATATTTCTACCTCGGGTAGTTTATCTGCGACAAACATTAACCCATACTTTCATAAACGATCTCTGCAGAAACTCAAATTTCTGTCTATAAACACCGAATACAAAAATTTCGGACATTACGCTCTCAAAACAGATAAATATCAAACGATTATCAGTAATTCTTCCGTATCCACACTCTCGCCTGTAGGCTGTGTTACACTCACACTCATTGAGTGTGACATACAAATTTTGTCATCACCGATAAAGAGAAAGTTATTTCTTAATCGATACAAAGATTTAACGAAAAACACTGAAAATTAAGCTCTTATTCGAGTGGAAATACCGCCATGAAATGTTATGACTCCCACTCAACAAGTTCGAGTGCGCTTTTAAAATACAATAGTTCCTCGCTAACTCGAACTCCCTAAGGGAAAGGAAAATTGTTCGAGTTACCGGGGGTTCGAGTTTACCGGAGTTAGTGTAATATTACATTTATTATATATAATTAATACAATAAGTTATAAAATCCAATCGAATCATTCTTCAAGAGATATCATGCCTACCAATATGAATGGTGACCGAAACTGGACGAAATTTTAAAATAAAAAAGATCGAGTGTGTGTTAATAAAACTCAATGTGTTAACATATTCAATTTACGCTTTGGCTTTGGTTAGTATATTCAATTTACGCTTGCATTTAAAAACAATTTATATTCACAGAACGCCGAAAAAAGGAGAGTTAATAAGATCATAATTATTTGTCCGGGCTAGCATGCAAATTAGCAAACATATTTTAATGCAAGCGGATATTAGAAGCCAATTTGACAAAAATACTAGCTAATCACAATTTTTTCCATTTATGAATGCGTGATGGTAATCCAGATTTCAATTTTTTAAACGGTGTTTAAGAAAACCGGAGATTATTTTAATGTCTGTAATGTTTAACACAAGTGAAAACCCGTTGTTCGAGACTGAATGAAATTTACCTTGTGCGATAGTTTTTATACATGGGTGCCGTAAAAATGTGTCTCGTTCTTTTGTTGCTAAACAAAGTGGCTCAGATGGCAGATCATTAGATTAAGTTAAAGTGAGCAAATTATCAGTACAATTTATCTACGATGATATTTGCATACATTCAACAACCAAAACATCTAAAGTAGCAAGAAGCTCTTTATAGAATGATGTAGTCAATTTATTAGCACGGGACAGCTAAAATTGGTGCCTGCGTCCAATTTGATGCACAGCAATTTAAAGCACAGCGCATCCATTTTGACCGTGCCAATAGTTTGCAGCTAAAATTTACTGGTTCACTTACTGATCAAAACCAATCTCGTGATATATTCTTTCGGCATTCGCGTTAGTTGATATGAAAATACTTTTTGTAAGCCAATCAACCACATAATATTCTTTTGAGAGAGCTGTCCTCGCAGCCAGTTCCCAACGACGTGAAATTCTATGACGCCACGCTTCTCTTCACGACGAGCTGCCTCGTCTCGTCCAATGTGTCACCCAGGGTAAAAACCGTGCTGTAAGTACATAGTTTAAACGAAATTGACTTTTTGTTTTGAAATTGACATCTCCGAGACCTTTGTGTAGACCGTAAATATACAGTTGGTATTCAGCCAATAATGAAAACTGCTTAAAGTTTGTCAAATATTTTCACTAAATTCTTGGCAAGCTTCCTTCAGTAAATTAACCTGCACACGCTGGTTTTACTTCTATTTTCAATTTACAACAATTTCATGAAACAACTCTCGTACAACAATCTAAACGATCTCAAAACGCTCTAAGACAGTCTGGATTTATAATAATAATACAGCTCCACACATTTACTTATAGTCCCGGCCCTTTGTATCAAGGCCATTTATAGCTTAAACGGCGGATAAGTCAAAATTAAATAATACTCTTACATCTCTCTTGAATAGGTCAACTATCCCGTCCAAAAGGAAAATCGGAATTGAAAAGGCAAGTAAATCTTTGGAACTGTTGTAGAATATGATAAACTGACAAATTTGCAAATATAGTAAATTTAAATCCAGTGGCAATATGGCGTTTTACGGCCATGATATCCTAGTTCCATAAATCTTATTAAAATGGAGCTTTCTTTCAACGTAGATGTAAAGGGGATTGAAGATTTATAAATGGCTATTCACAGCCAAACTTCGTTCTACATAAAACACGTGATGTTCAGCTGTTGTTTGCTTTATACACTTGATCGTATTTCTTCGCTTCACTATCCCGTCCAACAGGAAAATCAGAATTTAAAAGGCAAGTAAATCTTTGAAATTGTTGTAGAATAATATAAACTGACAAATTCGCAAATATAGTAAATCTAAATCCAGTGGCAATATGGCGTTTTACTGCCATGATATCCTAGTTCGATAAATCTTATTAAAATGGAGCTTTCTTTCAACCTAGGTGTAAACGGGATTGAAGATTTATAAATGGCTATTCAAAGCCAAACTTCGTTCTACATAAAACACATGATTTCAGCTGTTGTTTGCTCTATACACTTCGAATATTCTCATTAAATGTATGACAGTATGATCGTATTTCTTCGCTTTACTATCGCGTCGAAACGGAAAATGAATTAAAAGCAAGTAAATCTTTGGAACTGTTGTAGAATATGATAAAATGACAAATTCGCAAATATAGTAAATTTAAACCCAGTGGCAATATGGCGTTTTACGGCCATGATATCCTAATCCGATAAATCATATTAAAATGGAGCTTTCTTTCAACCTAGGTGTAAAGAGATTGAAGATTTATAACTGGCTATTCACAGCCAAACTTCGTTCTACATAAAACACGTGATGTTCAGCTGTTGTTTGCTGTATACACTTCGAATATTCTCATCAAATGTTCTTCGCTTCACTATCCCGTCCAACAGGAAAATCAGAATTTAAAAGGCAAGTAAATCTTTGAAATTGCTGTTGAATATTATAAACAAATGACAAATTCGCACATATCCTAGTTCGATAAATCTCATTAAAATGGAGCTTTCTTACCAGGTATATGTGTATATGAAAGAAAACAACCTGTATTTTTTTCTGTATATTTTTGTGTTATAGATATCACAAAATACATACTGTACTATACAGTATAGACCCTCTGTGATTTATATACAATCATATTTTCAATTGTGTGAAAATGATGTTCTTGTAATCTCCATCGTAGAGCAAAAGCCGCGCGAATCATTTGTTTTATGTTTATCAACTCGAACTGGAACACGCGACTGGAACAAGATGGCTTCCAGCAATGGGAAATAATTTATGTTAAAAATGTAGTGTAAATGTATTTGTGTTCTTATATCATGAAAGGGTAAGTAATTTTTGAAATTGTATGCATAAATTTTTGTCTTAAGCCTTAATTCCACGGGCTAAATTTTCAAGCAAAATGCGAAATATTTCTCCTGCTTCTTTTGAATTGTGAGCAATGATGCATAATTAATTGATTCAAGCGGTCGAAATTCAAAAGAAACAGGCAAAATATTTCGCATTTCGCCGAGAACAGGCGCCCGTGAAGTTAGGCCCTTAGAGTTAGGCCTTAGAGTTAATATGTGGTTATCAACATGTGTCATTGTGAATTTTAAAATTTAGAGAATGGCATCGACGATATGCCTAGAAATGTCCATTGCAATAATCTGTTTAGTAAAACTCTTGAAGGCTGCTGAACGGCGTTTGCATCAGCGCAAATAAAAAAATAAAACATGCTGGCAGCAGATCATGACGTTTGTTTGCCCCAGCAACCCTTTTGGACTATAATATGGTTGACATCTAATATAGGATTTCTTCATTTGTCACCTACATTCATTGAAATCTACAAAAGCTTTATAAAAACTAATAGCACTATTATAGAGCACCTGTATTATATATATTGTTGGAAGAAACATGTAATTTTGCACTATATCAGTGATGACATAAGCCTTATATGGGGGGCACCTGTTCCTCAACACACAGTGCCCCCTGGCAAAATCCTGTTTACAGCCTTGGGGCCAGTTGTTCAAAAGGTGCATGGATAAAGTTATCCACTGGATAGTGACCTAATTTTTCAACTGTCGTAAAAAGCTTTGAAAAACAAGAAAGCTACTTATGACCCTTAAAAAGTATTTTAACTTCACAACTGTGAAGTTAAATCTTGGCTACGCCAAGTGGTGAATATGCCATATATAATTGCCTGGATTTTGCCCATAATTGCACACTGAAACCTCCACCAGATTGTTCAAAAACCTTATCTGCTAAACAGTATCATTACCTGCTCAACCAATATCAGCTATTCAACCATCAGTACCAATCTGGATCAGTATTTATATATGCTGAAATAGTTGCAATTATAGCATAGTAAATTCATATACCTGCGTAATATGTTTGTTTCTGTAGGCGAGACCTAAGATCTCTTGCTTCTTTAGCAATGTTGCACCATTTCGCAGAATGTTTCTCGGTGAGCAGTTTTCGTTTGTTACACTCTCTGCGACCTTTGGAGGTAAAGCTTCAGATGCGGTCGAGCGCTTAATTATGGCGCGCTGTTGACGCATTCTTTCTTCGATGACGCATTCGTTCATTTTGGCCTCAAAGTTGGCTTTTTTTCGTGGCTTTTTCACCGGAAGTGACGTACATTGGAGAACAGAGGGACCTGTACATGAAGAAAGGCTGCTTTTATTTTGCAAAACATCCGGACTATCCCAGTGTCAGATTGGAAAGTGAAATAGATAAAGGCACTATATTATTGATCGCGTCGCGTAGCGACAGCGATCTATAGTTTCGGCTTGGTTTTTTTTTTATTTTCCTCTCGGGTCACCCCAGCGTCGCTAGCTGCGGGCCATATCACCCTAATCGGGAACCTGCGCACAGGTAAGTTGCTAGTTATATCACGTGTTGTATTCACTTTGGGCATATTTCGTTTCACCTTCGAACTTTGAAGCAGTAAAGTAGAATCAATAAAGCGATCAAAATGTAGCAAGTGTTATCTTTACACTCATTACACATACAACTAACTGCACACGCCGAGCAGAGTAAGCCTGCACTAAAGGATTTCAAGCAGTTTCGAAATGGGCTGTTTTGTGTTTCTCCTGCTTTCAACATGCGACTATAGTTCGGTATATTGTTCATTTTATTATTAAGAACATTTACGACACAAAATTTGCATAGCTGGGCTGGCTACGCCGCTGTGAACGACGCGATCATATAACGCCTAGTAGGCGTCTTGTTACATATAAAGCACGTGTTTTTTTGCCTGTTGATTTCCAAAAGCTGTTTGAAAATATTGACATTTCACCCTATTGTTTCTTCAATTGACGATATTGACGATACGAATTTCTATGTTGATTTGTACTATATTACACTGGTGAAATTTGACTCATGAAATCGCAGGATCGAACTATCTAAATTTTCCCGCAAATCCGAAAGCAACCATCCTCGTAGTACAATTTTCTTTAAGAATTAACTTCAAGATATTAAAATTTTAATAAAAGATAATATGAACCGACATTTTTCTCCGATTTTATTTTGTAACTTACCCATTGCAATACCAGGCTTGTCAAGTAGTTCACGTTGTTCCTGTGGAAAAGGGGACGCCCTTAGAATTGCCAATGATAGTGTAGTGGTATTATAGCATGAACACCGCTTAAAATAGTAGTAATCCAGAAAAGAGGGGTTAGAGACTCTCCTTTCAAATATATTACAAAATTTCTACTTGTTTTCGTACGAAGAATTTAAAACTGCGGAGTCGGGTACTGTTTTGAGGATTCAAACAAACATCTGATGTTTTTGATGACATGTGATTTTGAAGTTCCACTGGTATATCGCTGTAGGATGAAATAAGTTCCGATTAAACTTCCTGCAGTTACACGTAATTGTAAATATGAATCCGATCAGCATAAGTATATCGCTCATGCATATATATGTTGAGTTGAGCCTAAATTAGTGTGTATATTTAATATAGTGAATACCAAACATATCTGACGATACTGTATACGCCAATGGCAATGGCCGAATAGCCCAATATAAACATCTCTTAGTGGTAGTACTTGTGCAGCAAATTATTAATGACACGTCTTTGCATGATAACACTTTGTATGGCACAAATGCCTCTGAAAATAGTCAAGAGAACTTTCATGAACTGTGGGGATTACTACCTTATTTTAAGGGCAAAATCGCGAGGGTGGTTATACAACCTGTGCACCTATACAGTAGATAGTAAATTATTCAGTGTATCGACCGTGTAAGAAAATGGGTACATGGTATGTAGAATTTGAGCTACAAGCCTATTTACCAACGGTCAATGAAGTCATTTACACTTGCCTTGGCCGTGTGTGTTTCTTGTTCAAGAACCTGGGGTGAATGCACAGCTGGTCACCTGATCCTGGCACACATATTGGTCTCAAACAAAAATAATAGAAAATGTCAATTTCAACAGTTAAATCTTCGTTTCCCGGTTTTTGACCTAAACGTGAGAAACACAGGAGTTTCTTGTAAAACATCCGAGGCTCGTATCAATTTTTTGACGGTCTGTTTCAGGATGTGTGTTGACTTGTATGTTTCGATCATAGTTTCATGTCCATAACTTGTTTCATGTCCAGGATGCACGAAATTATTCCTAACTTTTAATTCTAAACCTCACCCTAACCCTGACCTAATTGCTTATACTAAAAGATTTGAATCAAGGATTATATTCGCGGACACTGGACATGAAATTATTACCTATTTCCAAAATCTGACAGGTTTTCAGCAGATTCGCCAACAAGCTTATATATACAAGGTTTTAAACTTGACAAGCCGTCTTAATGTATGTGTTTAAAGACTTTGGTATTAATACGTCGAAAAAATACAGTAGACACCATACCTTTCTTTGGCAAACGACAAGAAACAGCACGCTTGTTCTCTGCATGGGTTGCGAACGTTTTCATAAAATCCTTCCATTGCCTAAAACAGACCATAAATCCTTTGACAAACCTCAATCAGCTTGTTCATTGCGAGTTATTTAGTTGAACATAACCTCCTGATCAAAATGATCCGTTTTCGTCCTCGTAAAAAGTACAGATGAACTGTTTAACTATATTTCATTTGTTAAAAAGTCTAGTCTTAAGATTTTGCTGGATGGCAATAGAACTAACCTCTGTAAATTCGTTTTTTCGTCGTGGCTCAACAAAAAGTTTTTTGTGTCTCAAGTCGGTTCCATAGATCAAAACTCTTACAAAAAAAAGATAATCATTGTGAATTAACGTAACGGACTAGGATATGAAATATCGTTCCTATATCAGTTTAACAACACACAAAACCCTAACCGATTTAGAATTTCGACCTAAGGAAGCACCATCAAAAGGTCCAGTAAGATTAATCTGTATAAAAATCACATTAGCTGTATTTATACAAGAGACGAACAATTCATCTGGACGACCTGGGCAAATTTTATATTAAAAGGTAACATGAAACTAGACATTTTCCTACGATTTAATTTTTTTAACTTACCTATTGCAATCCCATTTTTGTCAAGTAGTTCACGTTGTTCTGTGGAAAAGGGGACGCCCTTAGAATTGCCACTGATAGTGTAGTGGTATTATTGCATGTACACCGCTTAAAAGTAGTAGTAATCCAGAAACGATGAGGGGTTAGAGACTCTCCTTTCAAAATATATTAAAAAAATTTCTACCTGTTTTTGTACGAAGAGTTTAGAACTTTTGAGGATTCCAACAAACATCTGATGTTTCTTGATGACATGTAGGTTTTGAATTTCCACTGGTATATCGCTGTAGCATGAAAAGTTCTGATCAGATTTCCTGGAGCCACACGTTTGTAAAGATATGAATCCGATCAGCATAACTATAGGGAATAGCCCAACTAGCAGAGAATAGCCTAAAATACGAGTTTCCCAATTAGAATATGAAATCGGTTTGTAATTCCTCAGATTTGTTGTAGAATTATACAGTAGAACTTCTTAAGAGCGTCAAAAAGTAATGAAGAGCCGTTATAGGTTTCCTAAATCAATCACCGTTATTAAAAAATGACTATACAAAAGATCATCTTGTAGCTTAATGCTATGGTGGACGTAATGATCACCTTTGACGCCACCAGCTGCTTTGCTGGTTGACCAAACATCCAGTTGCTTCCTCTTCAACCGTCATTCGCTGGCTGTTGAACATGAACCTAAAAACAAGAAACTTAATTTAGCTACAGCAATACATGAATTGTCTATTTTCATTAACTGCCATGCAGAGTTTACTTTTAATAACACAGGTTGAGATGATTGCACGTAAATGTGCCAGCTTGTTGCACATCTTTCTTTCGCTCGACCCTAATGCATCGCCGTTTGAAAAACTACCTGGGATGCTATAATGTGGAAAGATTGGACTAGATTTTATCCGTGAAAATGATTGTTTGAAAATGATTGTTTACAACAATTACGACACAAAGGAAACCAGGTAACGACTGCTTGAAAACATGTAGATAAGGGGAGTTACAAGAAAGCTATACAGCAATAAACGTCAAAAAATATCAACATACGAGCCCTTTCCCCAAATTTCTACCACTAAGTCTTCTATCATGTCAAAGACTACTGTAACATACTTTCAAGGCGTCCGCGAACTGTCTTTGTATTGCACCACCAATTTGATCTACATTGAAGAAGATTTGCTTAAATAATGTATGCATTTCATTCCCAGTTTTAACAATATTTGCTGCAATACTGGCATATTGAGTCATCCAGAGCTTGCTCCAACTCAATAATCGCCTAAAATCCTTTGCACATCAAATTTAACAAATGAAATGTTGAAACAAGCTCGGAAACCACTTCATAAACTCACTTGCAACGGACAATGAAATCACTTTCGAGTGATTTCGTACTTTGACCAGAAGTTCGAAAATGTAACTGGGTGACAAAAAGACAAAAGACTGCAAAAGTTAAGGCATTTCTAACGAGGCTGCAGTCATATAATGCTTGTTTCAACAATGTTTCAAATAAATTGTATACTGCACCTGCCGGGATGTGTAATTATTTGGACGATGAAGATGTTACAGTATGCAATTCTTCCTCTAGCTTCAAGACCAAGTCTGGAAAATAAACAAAATTGACCCAATATAATACGAAATCAGGCTAGCAAATCACGTCAAAAAGAGGAGGCTGGGTATTAAATGAACTAGCCGTAATCTGATTGGCTTGATAACCGATGCAATCACTAGCTGTGCTGAACTGCGTACAGCTGAGAAGAGGTATAACAAAAATATTCCTAGCCACCATTTTAGTATTCCTCAATTTCTATTCGTGGCTTCACCTACTACACGTTCCAGGTATATTTTTATTGATTATATTTACAAGAGGCCCATTTTGATGTGCGGTTTCAATCCTAATATCATGACTGGCAACGAAAGCTATACATATATTTTATGTATGCGATTCTATTTATCCAAATCTCCATCATCTGGTAAACAGAAATACGAGATTTTAACACAGCTGATTGTACAAAAAGGCGATCAACTATGGTTAGCGGCAGAATTGCTCAATCAGAATCCTCTTTAGGGGGTACATTGATATTTGCAAAAGATTTCTTAATTTACGAAACTTTAAGAAACATACCAGGAAGCAATTCTAACAGTGGTATGACAACTTGAGGCGTTGGCGAAAGTTTAGTAAACTTTTCCAGATATGTTGGGAGCAGTCTAAGGAACGAAAATTTAGAAATTATTGCTCAAAAAATTTGTATTTGTGAAGGAGTATCGCATAACAAGAGACGTTACATTTAGGCTGGAGTTTGTTGAAGTACATTTCTGTAAATTCACTGAGTGCATTATCAAGGCACGATTTCAAATATTCCAAAGCAATATACTTATAAACGCTGCAATTACTTAAATCAACTTCATTCTTTACAAAGTGCTAATGGACATAAAAAAGTCTCAAATTCCAGACTATCTTAAGTAGCCTTACCTTGCATAACTGGCAAGGCATTTCTAACATACATATGGTGAGACAGGATACGCATAACGTCGCGGAATGAGCAACCAAACCAATCTCCAAAGTACGCATCAGACAAACTAGACGAAATATACAAAACGTTTAAACGAGAACAGACAACCGCTGAAAAAAAGTCAAGCAGGTTCTTACTGTTCATCTTGACAATAAAAATGTTGTACGTACACAGCTCTGTTAATACCTTCACATGTTACAATAAAATATCCAATTAAATTATTAGTATGGTATGATATAATTATGGTATAAATTCGTTATGGTATGGTATGGTGTGATATAATTATGGTATGATATGGTTATCGTATGGTATGATTTGGTCATGGTATGGTATGGTGTGATATAATTTTGGAATTATATGGTTATCGTATGGTATGATTTGGTTATGGTTAGTTATGGTATGATATGATTATATGATATGATATATGATATGTTGTGGTATGGTTATGGTATGGTATGTTTGGCATAGTTATGGTAAGATATTTATGATAGATGCAAAAACTGAATGATAAGAACGTACTGGAAAAATTCTAGCGAACAAATGAGGTCGGCGCATATCATGAGGAACACGAAATAATCCAGGAAAAAAATCATAATTTGAAACCTGAATGCAAAGTAAATTTTTAGTTCATGATTTTGGTGTGAAAAGTGCACAACTTTACTTCCCTTGCCATTTTAGATAACACTGTACATATTAAACGTAAGTAGTGCTTTCAAGAATGTATCAAGTTTTTATCTTGCAGTGCCTCTGGAAAGTTTCTCAGAACAACAACAACACCTCCATTCCAATTTAGAAAATGAAGAAAGTTGAACTTCAATCGAAACTTAATGCCAGATGATATATTATGATGGAAAAGTTACCTGTTGTAAGCACACAAGAATAACATTCATTGCCTCGTTGTAAGGCAGTGAGACAATTTCGGTGTCTTATTCTGCAGAACTAAAACAAAGTGAGGATGTATTGAATTTGAATTTTTTTGAATTTAATCACTTTTTACAAAAGTAGAGGTAACAGGGGCTGAACAGAGCATGGCCCCAATTGACATCAGCTACCGGTAAAGCAACCAGAGAGGTGCTGAAATCACCTAACGCTCGCCTGCACTGTTTGTCTAGAATAAGGCTAAACTCTGTATGAAAGGTATCTGTATGAAGCACAAATTACCGATCTTTTTATTACAAATTACAACTTTAACGTTGGACTATGTTTTATATACATAATCATTTATAAACACAATCTCAAAGTTTATAATTGTACATGTACAATACAAACAAATGGTAGCATACAGGTGAAAATATTTGAAAGTTTCTCATTTGGCTTAGGGTTGTACAAATACTTTCGTTAAATATAATTAGCTACAACTTTGAACTAAAAAAAAACAGGGCTACACAATAGCCCTGAAAATCGTAATGAGCGTGATAACTCTGGATAACTCTAACATTGACCTTATCATGAGCTAATTAGCTTAACATTTGCCTTATCATTGATAATTTTGAGCAAAGCTCTCATTTATTATTGTATAAATGAATAGTCACAATGCATATCGATGACTTATATTTATGATGATCCTCTTATGTAAAGCCATAATATTTAAAAATATAGCATCTTAACATTGACCTTATCATTATGCTAATAGCTTAACATTCACCTTATCATTTGAAAATTTTGAAAAAAATTCCCATTTTTTTGTGTAAATGTGTACTAATGTCACCATATAGTCACAGATATCGATGAGCTATATTTATGATGAATCTTCTGATGTAAAGCCGTAATATTTAAAAAATATAACATCTTAAATTGACCTTATCATTATGCTAATTAGCTTAACATTCACCTTATCATTTGATAATTTTGAGCAAAACTCTTTTATTATTGTATAAATGTGTACCAAATGGCACTAAATAGTCACAATGCATATTGATGACTTATATTGATAATGATCCTCTGATGTAAAGCCAAAGTATACAAAAAATATAGCATTTTAACATTGACCTTATCATTATATTTTGTTGTATAATGTTCACTCCCCCTGGTAATGGTTCTTTCTAACAAATAGACCTTAAGTAGATAATTTGAAAATAATGGGAATATAAAAGTGGCATCTTAACATTCTACTTATCATGTAGTGTGGACGCGGACGGGGACGGGGACGACAAGACTATAGCAATAGCTTCTTGCACTAAAGTGCAGGCGAGCTAAAAAGGAATTTTGGAAGCAGAATACTGACATGCGTTGCACTATCATCATTAACCAACCTTTTCCTTTCAGAACAAATAACATACGAAGTGAATTTAACTTTTCCAATTTTGTCTTGCACAAGGGCTAGTTCTCAGCTCGCAAACTGAGGAAACATTGAAGAATCTTTAAAAAACCACAATGTAAGACTTCATAGAAAAATCGCGAGAAATAACATTGATTTGGCTTACCACAAGTCGTATCTCCGATGCAATAGACGTCCGATAGCGATTGTCATAATGAGTTTATTTGGTAACTAATATATTGAATATTTCGTTCTGCAATTACATAATAGGAAAGAGAGAATAAAAATTATATTTTATATAACACTAGTGTAAAATGAATGATAATGGAACTGTACAGCAAAATAGGCTATTACTCCCGACAATAATGTTGCACAGAAGCAAGACATTAAATATTCAGAATATTTGGGCTAAAGACCCCGGATACACTAAACGATAGCAGTTGAAACGATTGTTTGAAAGTATATTCCAACAGCATATAGTTATAACCTGCATTGTATTATAAGTAAAACAATAATCAAAATAATAGTTCTTTGTTATCTCAAATTACTCACCCATAGCAAGATATATTTTAGAAATTCCATATCTTTTTGCTTCTTTGGTACTCTGTGTCTTCGAATCGTCCCAATTTTACATGTTATCATCTGTTGTAATTCTGAGTAATTTTGGGCTAGGATGTGCAAAAGAATCGAAGAAATAGCATTTCATAAGTGCTAAGCGATAATCGTTGGTAAGCACGTGCTTAAGACAAGCTCGAATCGGAACTAGGTCAGAATTTCAGCTTTTTGCCCGAATTTGTTTTCCATATTTTATTATTGTGAAATATTATTGCCGGTGATGCGTAATTCATATCATCAGGTATGTTTATATAAAAATCGGCAAAAATCTTCTAAAGGTTTCGATTTTGACGCTAATATATCAAATAGTACTGAATATTTGAACTAAACCACTGCAACCGGTTTTCGTTTGCATTTTGGGCAATATCCTAAGGATTAGGCCGCTTTGATGTGTAATATTGAATATATAAACGCGTGATATATACCTGTGAATAGCTATGTATGCATGGCGGTAAAACGCCATATTTCCACTGGATTTGCAATATTTAGCCTTGAAATTTACCACATTTGCGATTTTGTCAGTTTTTATATTTATATTATTCAATGCCATGCCCAATTCGACAATATTCTGAAAGGTTTGTAGTTAAATGTACCACATAATTCAAATGCTACAACAGTTTGAAAGATTTACTTGCCTTTTAAATTCCGACTTTCCTGCTCGATGGGTTCTAAAGCTGGTAGGGAATAAAGCCTTTTAATAATGATTGAACTGTAATTTTTTGTGAACTTCATGAGAGAATAATCGAACAATACACACTACTATGATACATTGGCTTGGAATATGCTCCAAAACGTGTGAAATCGAACATTTGTTGTGCAATCACCTTGCAAATATCAAAGAAACGGGATCAAAATTTGAATATAGATTAACCAATCTGATTGGTTTTTATTGAACCAATCATGGAGTACAAAAATTGACCAATGACAGATTGACCTGTGCACAGAAATAACCAATCAAGTTGTCTTAATTTTGCTCAATTATGCAAGAGCCTACAGGCTATAAACAGAGCCATCTGCGACCGTTTTTTCAGGTAAGTGAGTTCTTTCTTTAGGAGGATCAAGGTATGTGTAATTATTTTTTTAATAGAAGTAGATCCCCGTGGCCACTCTGTTAGCTAAGAATCTCTGTCCCGTATCTGGAAACACGGCACTGCTTGTCTAACTGTGTTTTGCTCTTCGTTTTCTAGGGAGCTACTAATAATTTTTTTTGTGTTTTTCAGACAAAGACGATCGTAGTTTAGTTTCAGTATCCAACCCTAAGAAGCCACCCCCATATCCATGCCGTCAGTTAAATCCCCAGCCACAATTGCCTTCATGCTTTGAATGCTTGCTTTTCTAGGAACAACTCACCATATTTTTTGTCGTTTCAGCTACAGAGTTAGTGGGTTGTGGGTTGTTGGATGTTGTGTCGTCGGTTGTGTGTTTTGTGTTGTGCGTTCGTATTGTCTGCCAGTCGGTTTGCGAGTTGCCTTGTAGCTCTCGCTTTTTCCTGGCCACACAAAGAACACATTTCGGATACTCCTTTTTAGGAGATTGGGTTCGACTCCCATGAATGTGTCAATTTTGCGCTGATATCTAATGAGGTCCGTCTTTAATACAAAAGCACAACATCCAACGGACAATCTGCATCCTTTCACCACACCAACTACAAGTGTTGTCCTCATACAACAGAATGAAACTTTCAACAGAGTAAGGAGTAACCAATACCCAAGATGAAGTTCTCGTAACTTCTCAAACAGGACAGGATGCGGCATTTGTTAATGAAGTATTCTCGAT